CCTATTTCCTTATATCTTTTGTGTTGTTCAAACATATCCAGAATCTGCCATTTTTAGTAATAGGCAGCCCACTTGTATCAAGATGCAAACCTGGTACTGCCTGTATAGTTTATAGAAAATTCCTGTTTAAAGATTTACATAGAAAATAAGATATTTCTGTACCTTTCAAATTTTCCTTGATAATTTCTTAAAGCCATTCATTTCATAAAGCCATCCACTAAATTTTAGTCCCTGCCCAGAAGAAAATAATGGAAAATATGAACCTTTGCTCTGCATAATACATTCATTTCTGTCTGTTTCTTCTTATTTTCTGGATATGGTCACTGAGTAGACTTAACACTGCTGAATCTCACTGACACATTTAAGTTGTATCTGATTATTAGTTATAAAAGTACAGTCAATATAGTACATTTATTCCTAGTATTGATATTAGGAATATTGTAAAATACTGATATTTTACAGTCTATCTGCCATTTACATAGAAACACGTTTAATATTGATTTTCATTCAGTTTAACTCCAGCAATATGTTTAATCACAGTAGTTGGTAATACAAAAAGAATATTTGTATTCTAGAATATGAAGTTAGTTGAATCCAGTTTGTGAAAGATAACAATGAAATAAGTAACTTTCTAAACATAGTATAACCTTCAGAAGAGTTGTAATAGTTTATCAGAAACTTCATTAACCATGAGATTGATTAGTATATGTGTTTCATATTTAATTTAATATGAAGTGGTGCAAATAGAGTAGTAGATGTAGCATGATAGAGCATACTTTAAGTAAAAATTATTCTGACATAGTATGCTAAAGACTCATGATAATATACCAGCAACTTTAATTATTTAGAAAATTATTAAGAAATTTAACCTTTGCTGTCAAAATTAATACAAGAGTCAATGGCATATTGATCTGTCGGAAGCTACAGGTTAAGTAACATGGGATTAATGTATTTTTTGCCTATTCAATGCTTAAAGAACATCTAGGAATGAGTAATGAATAAATATATTGTTACTGTTTTTCTTTGAGAATTCTTTCTATTAAAGATATCACAAAGCACTTTAGCTGAGTTATTAGGTAATTGTAATGAAAATATTGGGATCAAAAGGAAAGAGGAAGACTATCTAGTACTTGAGAATAGCAATGTAGAAATGTAAAGGAATGTAAGAAAGTTGCAAGTAATATGTAAAATTTAAGGAACAAGGTGTGCAAAAGGGAATTTTTCTCAAGTCAGATGGAATTCTTCAAGGAGGAGAAAAGGTTTGTTCTGGTGAGAGGTTAATATTGGAAATAATTTACTAAGCTGAAAAAGTGTAGCAGTTGTGTTGGTCAAACTTCCTGAGAAAAATATAATTGAATGCAAATTGTATAATACAAATGTGCAATTGTATTTTTTTTGTATACATCCTATACCTTTCCTAGTGTAATAAAATTGTCCCAGAATGCTCTCCAAGACAATTTTTGTATCTTAGGGGGAAAAATGGTCTTTAAGATGTAAGCTTATTAACTACAACGCGTGCTCTTTTTCTATTGAATTATTTTAAGACATGTTCTATGAGTTGGGGGAAAAAAATCCAGATGTTAAAATATACTTGCGATGGTAAACTTAACAATAGTGCTGATATGAAGGTCAAGATCATGTTGGATTTTTTTTTCAAAATAAACAAAACACTTTCTAACATGAAGTGTTTGGCTTGCAGGTAAACAAAAACTTACCAAAACTAATTTGACTACTACATATAATGTAGGCTTGACCATGATCTTGGCTCACAGACTGCTTAATAATATTCATTATTTTAAATTAAAGTTGAAGAATTGCAGACTCTTGTTCAAATTAAGATTGGTTGTGTTGCCGGAATCTGGTAATTACTTTAATTGATCACCAGATAGTTTCCTTGATCACCAATTACACCCAATTACTGATTATGTTTCAAGACGTGAAGAAATGTCCAAACTGATTATGTAATAATGTTTTCATATATAATCAATCCTAAATAGCTATTTTCCCCATTCCCAATTGTATTTTATAAAAAAGGAAGGTTATAAGCCTACAGATACAAAAGGTGATCCATAAACAATAAAGTTCTGATTTCATTTAATTAGCAAGGGAAGTATTTAGAAGGCTTAATGGAGATTGCTCGGCCGAAATTACTTCAACAGACCTGCTTTTCATTTTCTTAGTAAAAATATATATGTAAGGGGGAGGCAGTTGTACAGGTTTAAAATGGACTATAAAGCTATGAGTCTCTTAGTGTACACATAAACCTGACTGCAGCAACGTAAATTTTTGTACTGTTAAAAAAATAATTCTACAAGATCCATAAAATATTTTAAAATGTCATAGCACCCTTGAACAAGAATTCCTTCAAAAAACTGTTGTAGTTAATAAATTGAGTGACATTAATAGTTTTATTGAGACTTTAATGTGATTAATTTTTTTAGCTTGCATTCAATGATCTATAAAATTAAATTTCCAAACACAAGGATAATCAAACTCCTGATACTAAAAAACAAACAAAATACTCCACTTGTTGGGCTACTACTGTTTAATCTTTGACTTGCTTATTCTGGTTTACAACAACAATTTCCAATCCTTTTTTTATTTTTTTGAGGACCATAATATGATCTAGAATTAGCAACGTGGGTCTGTGGACAGCATGAAATGCATGATTCTTTCAGAGCAGTATTGGGACCTAAACATAGGATTGAAAAAAATAAGTAGCTCAGAACTTTCGGGATCTTGCAGCTTTTTGGGCATTCTTATCCAAAATCTCATAAAATATCAGTTGAAACCCCCAAATCTAGGAAGATTTAATAATCCCATTATATTTTTGCTCTTTGTTATTTTTGGATGCCTATACTAGAGGCTAACTGGGTTGCCTTTGTTGATCACCAGTGGTCCCTGAACTAAATACCACCATTACAAAACGAAAACACTCAAAGCTTTCCTTTTGTATAACTCTAATTGGTAGTTGAAGCATTTTCTTCACCAGAATGGCTAGATACTCAAGGAAAGAGATTTCCATATTAAAGTAGTTTATTTGTTTGTTTGTTTATTTATTTGATAGATAGGTAGGTAGCTAGATGATAGATAAAAATGATAGATAGATAAAAATTAAATAAATGGGGATCTATATTGTAATATCTATCCTCAGCAGGGGATATCTTTAAGACAGAGGGATATTGATTAATCCTCCCTGGACAGGAACTCAATGAGTACATTGTCCTCAATCCAAAGAATATGGGGGGTGGGGGAGAGGACCTGAGTTGTACTGTTGTTGGCAGTATCTTTCCAGTGTCTCAAGCAGATATAATTTTTTATCACTTTCTACCTAATCATTTTGCCCATAAATCCTAGAGTTAAGCAAAATTTAGTGTTTGGACTATTGGCACACTAGATTTGTTAGAACATTTTCAAGTCCAAGTTAAAGGAAAAGTCCCTCAATTCAAGAATGAGTTTTGATGACTTAATGGACGCAGCCATGTAGCTGTAGTTTGTAGTTGCAATTTACTATTGTCAACTTTTGCATTGGTTGGTTGGTTGGGTTTTTCTCAACTATTACTACTGTGGATTTTTTGAGTGAACTTTGAAGTGAAGAAACAATACAATTGTGCCCTATCTATGAGAGCTAGTTTTCTTCCATCTCTTTGTAGAATAAAGGCAATGTAACTTCAAAATGCAGGGATTAACTTCATAAATAATCTCAGTGAGAAAGGGACAGCCAGTCTGATGCTTGCTTTGTTTACTTATTGCATTCATTAGGAGTTTTTTGCAACATAGAAGTTGATGTAGTTAATTATACTGAGAATTATACTGATTATTTTGATTTTATCTTTTTGGGGATTGTATTGTATTGTAGTACTACAACCTGGAAGTGAGATTACATACACATTCTAGTAAATAAAAAATCACAATGGAAACATTAGTAAATTTCTTTTAAAGAGTAATAAAGTAAAAGCTCTAAATCATGCCATTCATTAAATTGTAGAAAACACCTTAATTTATCACTATTAAAAACTAAAGCTCATAGTGTTTCAAAAATAGTTTCAGAACTTTTTAAGTTTCAAAGCTGCTTTTTACAGTGGTTTGACTTTGGAATTCAGTTCAGAATCAAGTGAAACAATGGCTGCAATTCTGTGATTCACCTGAGAGCAAATAATTTCAATTGCCAACATTTTGATAATTTGTACATAAAAAACATTGTTGGAATAATTTGCTCTGATTGTAATGATTGCATTCATCTGACTGGAGAAGTGATTTGCAGTCATACTTCAGCAGAGGTAGAGGAAAAAATACTGAAACTATTATCAACTATTATACTACTTCTTGATTATATGTTTAGTCAAAATTGCTGTCAAAGGGTTGAACATGGTTTTTCCCCCGGCAAATTTTTATAACGAGACTTTAGTACATTTGATAGATAGGTGGACTTTGAAAGATCATACTTAATGTATCACAGATTTATTGCTGTTAAAATAATCTTTCAATTAGGTTTTTAGTCTTATTTTGAAAGCACTTTGTTTGGTTTTAGCAAGAGAAAGTCACTGTATAATATTAGATTCTTGATACTTTAAGCACTCATGTACTGTGTCGATATACTGTATGTAAACTGTAGAATTTATTTTGCATAAGATAAAGTGGGTGAAATAAAGCACATACAATTTTGCTTTGTTTGATTTGGATCAAATCACACCTGTTCTTAACTCAGATAATTTTCTGTATCTATAGTGTGATACAAACATTTGCCAGCTTCATCAGACTTCTGTAACAATTTGTGAAATAATCTATGTGACATACTTTCTTGGTATTATTCTCCATTACTAGTAAAATTTAACCAGGGTTTTGTTTGTTTCAGAACTGCATGTACAGTATCAGGCCTATACATGTTTGCTTTTTTTTTTTACTTTTACATTTTGACACTTTTCCCTTCTGGCATATGCAGAATATAATAAAATGCTTTATTTTAAGAATAACACATGCATTTCTTTTTCGTTATGCAGGCATTTGGTTTTATGACTCGGGTAGCACTTCAGGCTGAAAAGATGAATCATCATCCTGAATGGTTTAATGTGTACAATAAGGTAATGAACTAAGATTAATGAACTAGTAGTTTATCTCTTTTCATTGGTGATTACCAGGCTCCAATTATATTTTGTAAATCCCCTCCCCCATGTAGATTAAAAATCAGATCATTGGTCAGTTTTATTCTTTTTGTTGGAATCTTTTTCAAATTATTTCACTTTCATTCCCCATTTTTTTTCAATGATTGCTTGGTTTCATATTCACCTTCCCTCATATAGCTGAAGTTGGTTCATTGAAGTAATAGGAAAAATCCACAAACTCTTGTTTTACCAGCCTTGAAAGTATAATCTATATTTTAGGCAATGGCAACTTCATTATTTCAATGCTTTTTTCATAGTGCGGAAAGAAACATAACACTGAAGCTCCACCCCTTTGAGGGATTGTATGAAATTATGACACATGCAAGAAATGAGTAGGGCACTGCTGTCACTCTGCCTCCTCCCTCTTCCTTATGTTCCCTGCAAATGTTGTTTTTTCCAGTTGTGCCTAACTTTTGTGGACCATTCTTGACCTTTAAAATGTATACTAGGGCCTCACACAGAAAGTAGCGGACAGGGAGCAAAACAACAATTTTTGTTTTATTTAAAATCACATTAAATTAAATTAGTGTTAATATGATTATTCTCCAAAATGGTATTTAGTTATTTCTCCTTCTGCCATATATATTTTTTAATTTGGTAGCACATTTTTGAGATCTTTAGGAACTGATATTATATATTTGTGATGCCTGTTCACACTTTGCAAACTACTGGGAGCAGCAGATTTTTATTGGCTCTCCAGATTTATTAGCTTTTTTTTTCTGTCCCCAGGAACAGACCCTTTAAAAAGTAAATAAAAATAATAGTATTAGATATTCTTGCTTTCTGATATTGCAAGTTAATTTTCCAAATTACAAAGCCAATAAATTTTTGAGAACTCTAGATTTCTTGGTGTAGTTTCAAATATATCTCCAGATTAAGCAATAAAATAAAATTTCTGAATGAGCATATTAGTCTGTGAGGAACCAACTCAAAATTAAAATATTTTTAAGGATCTTTAAATGTTCATATCACTGGATTCACAATTAGAATTTATCTGTGACTTTATCTTTAGGATAAATTCTTACTTTTAAATCATTTAAAATGTGCAGGTAGGAGTTTTGATAACTATTTCTATTCTAACGTTGTGTGTATATTTCTTGATATTCCTGATACAATTTTAATTTCTGAGACTTAGACTAAATCCTTTTTTTCTTCCCCCAGTAGCTTGATGATACAGAGAAATTTAGCAAAGCAGAACATAGTGTTCTGCTAGAGATAAGTGAATAATCCCTTGGAAGAAACATCAGAGCTGGTCTGTAAATTATTGCCAGGCTCTTCACCTTTATTTTAAACTGAACAGTTTTTCACTTGCAATTGGTTATAATCCACTTTTCTTGTGCAGTGAATATGTACAAGTACTTTTTAAAGAAAATATAATGTCAATTGGACAGCATCCACTGTTAAGCAAGGCAGCATTTGCATCATATATGGGATACTTTTGATCTTTTGAAACCCAAAGAAGTAAATTATGTTCATGGTAGTATGAATTCTGCCACTTGTGAGTTTGATCTGTGGTCCTCCTGACTTCTTTGGGAGGGGGGGGGGGCGCATGAGCAGTAAGCTCCAAGAGTTAATCAGTCTCTCTTTGGGCTTAGACATAATGCCTCTTGCCTTGAAAGAGTCAGTAGTCTTGTCTTGAAGAGGCCTTCCTAGGTCTGGCTATATTTCATAATGTTCACCAAGTTTCCAACCTGTCCTTTCTTGTAAATTTGGTTTACATTAGAAAGTCACTGCAAATCAGCTACAGAGAATCTTAAATGACACAGATTTTCGGTCAGGATTCAGGACCAAAACAGTATTGGTCACCTGGCTCAGTGACTTTTGTTGAGACCCTCAGTGGCATTCAGTGCCATTAACTCTGGTACCTTTTGGGACTGTCTGCACGGATTGGGAAACCAGAACAGTTTTATGCTAATTCTTCTAGAGAAGCTTTTTGCAATCATGTTTTGTTGTAGAACTGTGTTCAAGTTCTGTTTATATCTGACTGCTGAGATATATAAAAAAATGTTCAGCACCATTCCAATTTTTGAACAGCAGACAGGTGCTTTTTAAACTCAATTTCTTCTTCTTGTACCATATCTGTCATCAGACGTTGGCAGTCGTGTTGCCGATCCTATTTTTATCAACAACCACATGAAAAAGCACTGTTAAGTTTTGTCCAAACCAGTCCCTTAGATTTTGAAGCCATGATCATCTTCTTCTGCCTGAACCTCGTTTGCCTTTAATCTTTGCTTGGAGGATTAAGTGAAGTATGCTGTATTTGCATCACATGTCCAAAATATTCTAACTTTCGATTTTTTATGGTTTTGATGATTTCCCTTGGTTTTCCCAGGTGGCTTATCACCTCCTCATTTCTAATTTTGTCAACCCAACTTATACGTAACAGCCTGTAAATCCACATTTCAAATGCTTCTAATCTCTTCAAGTGTCTTTCTCTCAGAGACCAACTCTCCACTCCGTAGAGCAGGATAGAAAAGATGTAGCATCTGACAAGCCTAAATATACAATAAAAACTAAATATACAAATTAAGATGTATTTGAGATTTTCATACTAAATCTAGTCTGCAAGGAAATAGATTAAATTATGAATGATTAGGTTCTTTTTAAAAATGTATTTGATTGCAATTGTTTGTACATTATGAACTTTTTATCTTTCTTCTTTCTTGTTCAAAGGTCCAGATAACACTCATTTCCCATGACTGTGGTGGCCTGACAAAGCGAGATGTCAAGCTGGCTCAATTTATTGACAAAGCTGCTGTGTCTTGTCTAACAACTGGGTGCTAAAATAATCATACAAAATGTCTATAATTTGTTTATTTAGTCTTCTCTCTTAAAAATAGTTTATCCTCAAATTTCTTCATTCCTGCAGAAGCTTTTGCATAGATACATAAATTTTTTATCAAATAGAGAAAATACTAAAATTGTTGCATTAAAAAGTTGAGTTTGTTTAGTCTGTGTATCATTGACAAGTGACAATTTGGGCAGGAATTCCTCCAAAGAAGAATGATTTGAGCTTATTAGTAGGTCAGGTTTGCATCTTATGTACCCTGTGCTGTATTTTATCTTTTAGATTCTATACAAACTCAATTTCATTGAGGACTGCCAGGGTTGTGTGTGACCTCGGGGTGTGTGGCCAGGGGGCGTGGCGAGTTCGATATCACTTATGTCAAAGTCGCCTGTAGTGGCCCAGGCGCTCGCTCTGCCAGTGAAAATTGGCTCCCGAGCTCCGTTTCTGGCTGCAACGGATTCCTGCATCCCTCTGCCAGCGAAAATGGAGCTCGAGAGGGCTGCACGTGGCCCTCCCGAGCTCCGTTTACGCTTGCAGAAGCATTGCAGACTGGTCCTTCATTGTTTCCAGGGCAGCCCCAGAGGCCACATCTAAGCACCCTAAGCCCGCAGACCTTGGGTTTGACATGTCTGCTATAGATAATGACAATGGAACAGTTCAACATGAACATCTGAATTTTTATTCAATAATGAATGTGAGGGGTCCAGTGACCCTATATTAATATGTATAATTGCAAGGAATATAGCTGAGAGAAAATCTCCCTTGCTGTAGTTATATAGATGCACTTTCCACTTGTTTAAACTTTCAGGTATTCTCTGGAATAAAATGACCACAACTGATTGTGTGAGAAAAATCATGTAATGTTCTTGGAAATCTTGGTCAGCATAAATACAGTAATCACAATGAATGTAAAAAACAACAACCCTGGTAATACTTTATATTGAGCTAAGTGTATTTGTCCGATTGATTCCATATGCTTTCAACTGTTAGGCTAGATTCAATGGGAATTCCCACTCTTCTGTTTCCTGAGGCACAGATCTGGCTCTTTCTGGACAAACAAGAGTCTTCGTGTAGCATATTGTAGTAAAAAGCCAGACTCTCTCCAAATTTGTTCCCTTTCTTGACCATTGATCATACTGATTGGAGGACTTTGTTCCAAACAACTCTCCCATAAAATATTCTGAAAAGGCTAGGCCATGAATCCAGGATGGACAGGATCTGAGGCTCAACAAACTTAGGATGGCACAATACCTGTAAGTTAGTTAGCACAAAATATAATATATAAAAAAATCACAAATTCCTTTAAAGAGCACACTAGCATATCTTGTTCTCAAGTCTGCCTATCACTTTTGCTTTACCTTAGAGATAGATTCAACTACTTTCTTCAGCAAGCTGTATCTGACTAGTCCCTATGTCTCAAAAAGATTGCAATTTTGAATAAAAGTTTTAGCAGCATTGACTCCCTAGAGATATCCGGACAGTTGTTTGGCACTTTGTTTTACCCCCAGCCCAGAAATATATAACAGCTCTTAGTACTGGTCTCAGATTTCTTAGGGCTGAGCTGAGAACCTGTTGGACAAGCCAGGGCAAGTTTCTTTGTCTGTACCCCTTGAGATTTGGATTTTGCAGTCAATATGAATTCTTCCGCCTGTCTGCGAGGCATCTGGGATATGTATATTGATTTGTTTTAGGCTTCCCTGCCTGGTTTGTGTGAGCCTAGATTGAGAAAGTCTGGGTGAATGTGATGGAGAAAAGGGCCTGCCATGAGTGAATGGTTGAACGAATAAATGACAGTTTGTCCATTCACTATACCAGGGGTGTCAAACTCAATTTCATTGAGGGCCGCATCAGAGTTGTGTTTGACCTTGGGAGGCCGGGGTGGGCGTGGCCAGGTTGGGCATGGCCATCTCAACATCACTTGTGTCAGGGGCACTGGTTGTGGCCCGAGTGCTCTGCCAGCAAATATAGGCTCCTGAGTTCCATTTTCGTCTATGACAGCCTCCTGCAGCCCTCTGCCAGCGAAAACGGACTCAGGAGGGCCGCACACAGCCCTGCTGAGCTCTGTTTTCACTGGCAGAGGCACCATGGGCCAGTCCTTCACTGTTTCCAGGGTAGTCCTATGGGCCAAATCTAAGCACCCCACAGGCCGGATCTGGCCCCTGGACCTTGAGTTTGACACCCCTGCATTATATTATGCTGACTGCCATATTAGGGCAACGTAGTATATTCATGAGATCACAGTGAGTAACAAAATAGCTTGTAAGTATTGATTTCCCTTCTTTGTAAAGTAAGAAGGTTTGCAGAAGAAAAACATAGTTGAGTTTTGATATGTTGCTATTTAATTAAGATTTAATAGCTTAAAATCTTAAACTATTTTAACTATTTAACTATTTTAAAAATCTAAAATAGGCAAAATACACAGGTTCCTTGTTAGATATAAAGACTGACCAATTTTGTGCATTTTTCTTTTCTGTTGACAAAATTAAGTATATTTTTGGTAGCAAGTCAAAAACGGAAATCAAACTGGATAATTTCAGTTAGAATCTGAAGAGGATACAGCCTTTAAAAGTTAAGTCGAAGCTCCTGATGCTATAGAATCTTCATCCAGAGATGGGCCCCATGGTTATTGACTGAATTTGTTCATGTAATTTAAATGCCTACCTTGTTTAATTTGCTATATTTTAATTTGAATAAACAATTCATATTACTCTTTCTAAACTCTTGTCTCTGGTTTCTGATTCTGCTAATTCCATATGGTGCCTATTTTCCATAATGATAAAAGTCTGTGAAAGTATTTTGATTGACACTTCTAAGTGGCCCCAATACCAATGACACATGGTCCATGTTTTAATGGGTGCTATAAGATTGTTCATTGTTTTATCTGAAAGACTGATTTTGGTGATAACTCGTATACTTCTGCACATGCATGCTCCCCTAGACATAAAACCTACTGTAGTCAGAACATGGATAAGTTAAAGGTGTACTGGAGAATAATTCAACATGCAACCTTCTTTATGAATTTTGATGTATTCAGCATAAAGGCTTTGAAAATAGATTTTAGCTAAGCGTCCTTCAATAACCAAGAAATCAGTTTCTATCCAAAAATCCTTTTCAGAACAATGCACCGAATCTGCAAAAGACAGAAACTATCCTTGCAGGAATGGATGAGTAAATTAAATACTGGTGCTTGCATACATGCTCCCCTCTCCACTTTTATCCCTTCAAGTGTCCAAGTCAAGTTCTGAGTAAAAGCTTTAGATTTATTCCTTTGAAAAGGTGTGTGTTAATATTGCACTCTTTAAGAAAGCAAGTACTTCCAGTAATTTGTTTAAAGCACTTGTCAAAGATATTTGTGTGGATTTTAAAGCCTCTCAGAATTTCATTTCACATGAGGAAAAATCATGTCAATATTGAAGTTTAAAATGGAAATAAACTTTCTGTAATTTCTTAATACTTTTGATTCAAATGACAAAAGGATTTTTTTTAAATGGAAGGATGACTTCCAAGGCACATTATTTGGTGGCTTTTCTGAATTAATAAAGGAATTTTGAACCCAACATTTAGGTGAGAAGTATGGAAGCCTTTTTTGAAGCTACAGAAAGAGATTGATTGCAGTTAATGCCTCAAAAGACAACGTTGCAAAATATTATGTTAGAAGTACCAATAATTATGGCCGGATTTGAACACTCCTGGTCTAATTGTATGTTTTGATAACTTCCTAAGTCAATGTTTCTCAACTCCCAGAATCCCCATATTTATGACAGTTGCAGCAATCCGGGGTCATGTGATTGCCATTTGCAACCTTCCCAGCTGGCTTCTGACAAGCAGTCAGTGGGAGAAGCAGAATTTGTTTAACGACCACATGATTCACTTAACAATTGCCACAATTTGCTTAATAACTGATAAAAAGGTGATAAAATTGGATATGGCTCACTTAACTGCCTTGCTTAGCAATGGAAATTCTGTTCTCAATTGTAGTGATAAGTCAATGGTTGCCTATAATTTGCTTTACGTGAAGCTGATTTTAAGGACTACTTGCAAACTTTAGTTAGGACAAAGTGTAGCGCGTCTTGTACTTATTGCAGTGTCATGATTAGTATATTACACTGATGCTGTGAAAGCTATAATGGCTACAGTGGGTTGCTCAGCTTTTTCCACTCCTCTGTTAACTCTTTGTCGGACTTACTTTTGTTTTCCTCCTCTTCCTGGATAGGAGGAGGAAGAGGGAAACCTTTTCTGAGCCTTCTGTAAAGCCAGCACCTTGGTTGCATTTTTCCATTGTTCCTTCTGTTTTTTTCCAATGCGGGTCTAGTTTTTTTCACAAGCCAATCCACATTACAGATTTTCATTTCTGACCCTACTTGCTTCCTCTCTCATTAAACACATTTCTCCTTCCTCTGAGGATCCTCTAGATGTTCAATTCCCCTTGATAAAAGCTTAATACTTCCAATCAAGACATAAACACACATCACAAACAGACGTATGTTTTATCTGACAAATCTGCCCTTTTAACATTTTGTATTAGAAGGCAGACATGCCTGCTTACGATTGCCTTAAATTAAGCCAAGAAGCTTTTTAGATGCCTCTGTTGCACTTTTCATGCAACTGGTAGCTAGACAAAAGCGTAACCTCAAGAAGGTTATAACCTAGTTACATCTTAGTCATGGCACCTCAGTCTACCAACGTCTTGAACAATTTACTACCTTCAAAGTATTAACTGCAAATTCTAAAAAGCAGGCAGATTGTTTTTGTGCAAACAATTGTACTCATTTTCCTCCATACTCCATCCATAGCTGAATCATTTCTTCTACAGTATCCATACTAGAAATAAAAAATTACACCACTATCAAAATGATGGAACATTTCATGTGCTTTCCTCTAAGCTGTCAAAAACCCAAGCAGTAGATTTTAGATTTTACATATGCTATTCCAAAATTGTGAGGTCACAAAGTAAGTGAGGTCATATTGGCACTTTCATTCTTCTCCAGGTAGACTTTCTCTGAATGTGCAGTGGTGGTTGTGAAAAGATAAGCACAGTTCAAATTCTGGGAATCATGGCTATAGATTCTGCAGAAATACTTGAAAAAGCTCGACTGATTGAGAAGCTCTCATTTGAGGCATTTAAGTCTGGATCTGAAACTGAAGAGGCACGCTATGCGTTTGGATACCGGTAAGGTTTCAGCCAGGATTTTTAAAGTTTTATATCACATCTAGAAACTCCTGAAATTTTGAATTATATATTACTCAAAACTATTTCAATAATTTATGATAATTTTGAATGTTATGTTCTTGATGGAATGATGGATTTTGTAGTATACATAAAAAGGCATTCCTTTAATTTGATGGAATCCATTTTTCTATCAAAATTCCTTTTAGAAGAGATTTTTAATGACTTGGAGTAATTTTTACAGGTCAAGAATGAAACATTTGTTCTTAGTTATGTATGCGAATACTCCACTATGCTGTAGAATCCTTTCTCCAACAGCTTCCAGCCTCCCTGGATTTTCATACTTTATTTAACTCTCTAAGTAATACATGATGTTGATCTTCCCCAACTGGGCTTTTTCTAACAGTAGGTAGCCAGAGAGGCTTCAGAGTGATGGGAAAGCACATAATGGAAAAGGGCAGCAATGGGCAGTAGGAGTCTTATCTACAGTTCTAAAAAAAAGTTCAGAAGCACCAATAAAAAAAAAAAAAGGAAATAAATTCTCATCTACATTAAGACCAGGGTAAAAAGCTGCTTTTTCAGAAGGAGGAAAACTTTAGAGAAAGTTAAACAACAAGTAATGGATGGAAACTAATTGAGAG